CAGGGGGGGGGGGCGCGGGGGACACGCTGTGAATAGGGCAGAAGGGGGGGGGGAAGATGCTGTGCCGTGTCGCTGGCAGGGGGGAGGGGATCAAGACGAGCCGAAAAATGCTCACGGAGGAGAGGGAGGGTGGGGTTCGATCTTCCCCTCCTGGGGTCTGGGAGAGCGCCCGGGGGTGGTGGCAACTGCCTGTGGCCAGCGGTTCAATCCTTCCCCGTCCCCTGTGCCTGAGGGGGGAGGGAGGTTGAAGGACGGGCGGCGTTGCGCCTGGCCCGCAAACGGGCTTGGTATGTGTATTTCAACAACGGCAACGGTTTCCACGGAGCAATGCGTTGCCTAAGTTTCGCCGAAGGAACTGGCAACAAGGCGCCCCGGACCCGCTCGCCCTCCCTTGCGAATGGGCGGTGAACAAACCCAACAGGGCCAGCGGCGGCGGGTGATCGTCGTTGGATCGTCGCCTGGGGTGACGACCCGGCATGTGCCAACGGATTCCGGATATGCACGGTCCAATTAAGGACTTTGTTCCCTCGGTGGCCCTGGGGCGGGGAATCCAACGGGGCTATCAGCAAGCCGAAAATTGCTCGAAGCACACGAAGGCGTCGCCGGATTTCCGTCCTGGCCTGGCGCCAGCCGCGATTGTGCGGGTTAATCCCCCGGGGCCTTAATCCAACATTCGCGGCCTGCTGGGCCCTGAGGCGGTTTGCCCCCGGCCCCCCCCCCCTCTCCCCGCTCTCGCTCCCACTCCCGTACCTGGCCCCCTTCGGCCTGCCTTTGGGCTTTGGTTTCGGCAGCGAGGATATTCCCCCAGCTGCCCGGGAGCCGGTGGCAGTTGATCTCCCCTGCCGCCGACCTGTCCCGACTTGGTGCCCTGCCGGATGTGGCTTTTCCACTGCTGCATCCATGTGGCTTTGTCCATCTCGCAGGAGGCGGTCTCGCCCCGGCCAGGCCGGACCGCGATGACTGGAGGACCTGCTTTGTGGTGGGTGCCTCGTCTCGGAGGGTGGAACTCCATTTTCACGGGCGCCTGTTGGGCCTCACCTTCGACTCCTGTGCTCCCCCTCCCCCCCCCCCAGCCCTGACGTCGGGTGGGATTTTCAGCACATGCTTCAATCAGCCCGGCCGCCCTTGTGTTTCGCCC